ACAGCGCCACCTCCGGGTTTCCAGTGGTTTATTGGAGATAGGAGTCTCACGGTCTCTCCTGCCTGGGCTGGCTTTGAACCGCGATCCTCAGATCTCAGCCTCCTGAGTAGCTAGGATTACAGGCGTGAGCCACCAGCGCCCGGCGCCCATGAGACTTATCCCCAAATTACACACTAGAAAACCAGAAGTGGTGTTGTGGCTTAAGTGGTAGAGTGCTTGCCTTGAGCTGAGGGACAGCATACAGGCCTAGGTTCAAGCCCCACAACTAACTAACAAAAAAACTGTTGAAACTTGTAATTTTTGAAAAAGATTCTTGATTCAGCTTAATAAAATATAATTATATGGAGAGTTACAGATTGGGTTTCATTTAGTTTACAGAGAAGCGAAGAGAACTGAAGTTTGATGGTCGTTTAGACAAGGAACTTTCAGAATCCTATGCATTTCTCATGGTTGATCGATACCAGGTGAGTTAACTCCTTAGACAAAACAATTTGACAATGTTCCCTTGCAACTAATTTCACAATTTTCAACAATATATTTTATTATAAACATTTTCTTGGTAGATAAGAAAAGATTTAGAGGGATGAACTAGTTGTTTTTGTGATGATTTCTTTTTCAAGTGTTCTGTTGTTGTTTTTTTTCTCTGATCAGTCCTATTTCATTCTCCTGGAATGTGCTTGATAATATGTTTACCATCTAGAGTTGCTGATTATGTGATTGTAGCCATATTTCCTCTTTTAAAGATGGGTTACTTTTTCTTTAAATATTTTGCTGTTTCTAATTCACTCTAAAAAAGGAAATGATTGCAACTGTAAGAAGAATTAAGACTGTCTCAACTAGAATAAGGATGGATTCCTGACACAATTGGTTTGACAGATTAATTTTTTTTTTTTGGAGGGGGGTTCCAGTAGTGGGGCCTGAACTCTGGGCCTCGGTGCTGTCCCTCAGCTCTTCAGCTCAAGGGTAACGCTATACCACTTGAGCCACAGCACCACTTCTGGAGGTTTTTTTTTTTTTTTTTGCTTATGTGGTGCTGAGGAATCAAACCCAGGGCCTCATGCATGCAAGGCAAGCACTTTGCCACTGAGCCACCTTCCCAACCCTTGACAGACTAATTTTTATACTAATATTTAGTCATAACCTGGAATATGCATAGAAACCTTAATGTAGTATATATAGCCTAGAAGTTAAATTTTGTTAAAACAAATTTACAAAGTATTGTTTTATGTTTTTAATGTTATAATGAAGTATTTTATTTATTTAGGTTCAAAGCATATGTGAAAAAGGATTGCAGGTGGGCCAGTCAAAAATAACGATTCTTGGCAGTCCTTCCATGGGTAATTTATTTTTCATTTAGATTTGCCTAATATTAAGTCACCATTTAAAAATACACAGATTCATGCCTGAAACTAACAACTTAGGGGGCTAAGCTCTAGGATCTTGGTTTGAAGTCAGCCTGGACAGAAAACTCCATGAAACTCTTTAACCAGGAAAAGCCAAAGTGGAGGTGTAGTTCAACTAGAGAACCAGCCTTGAGCAAAAAAGCCAAGTGATGGGGGAGGGAAGGGATAGTAGGAGAACAACAAGAGAAGGGAATAACAATGCTCAACAAGAAATGTCATTGCCTTACTCATGTAACTGAACCCCTCTGCGCAGCAACTTTACAATAAAATGAAATTAAAAAATAAAAGCCAAGTGAGAGTAGGAGTTCGTGAGTTCAAACACCAATCAATGTAACAGACACAACACACACATACATAATAAAGAAGAAAAACCTGTAATTTTGTGATAGTCTTTGTAATTAAATTCCTATATGTTTTATCATATTTCAAAAAAAGATTAGTCTGCTTCTGAAATTTAAACTTTTTTTTTTTGGGTCCGGTTGTGGGGCCTGAACTCTGGGCCTGGGCACTGTCCCTTAGCTCTTCAGCTCAAGGCTAGCGCTCTACCACTTGAGCCACAGCGCCACTTCTGGCTTTTTTCTGTTTTTGCTTATGTGGTGCTGAGGAATCGAACCCAGGGCCCCAGGCATGCAAGGCAAGCGCTCTACCACTGAGCCACCTTCCCAGCCTATTATGTATGTCTTAAGCTTGGCATGGTGGTCTGTGTCTGCAGTCTCAACCCTCAGAAGGCTGAGGCAGGAGACTTTCAGACTAGCCTGGACTACGTACAGCAAGACTAAACATGACTCATAAAACCCCAAAAACTTTGTGATATTTATTCTCATCTTTTCACTAGTTTCAATCAACTTAGAATTAGCACTCACCATTCACCCTAATGGCATATTTTACATTGGTTCAATGTCTGCTGTCTTGATAACCTTTCATTTCATCTCTTTGAAAAGATATCAGACTGTACCAAGCATTGGTGGCTCACAAGGGTAATCCTAGTTACTCAGGAGGCTTAGTTTTGAGGATTACAGTTTGGAGGCAACCCAGGAAGAAAAGTCCATGAGACTTTATCTTCAGTTAGCCAGCAAAAAGCTGAAAATGAGTGTGGGTAAGGTGGTAGAATGCAAGCCTGGAGCAGAGAAAGCTCAAGTTGAGAACTTAAAACACTGAGTTCAATCCCTAGTATTGATACACACATGTGCATGCACACAAATCACATCTTGTATCTCTATTATTGTTTAAATATTTGGACTTTTTTTTGTATTTCAGTATTATTCAAATTCATATTTTTTCTCTTTAGGTATTTATCTTTCTAGATATGCTGATCTATTACAAGCTAATCCTTTGGAAGCTGGGGCCATAGGTGATGTTGTTATTTTTAAAATAATGAAGGTAATTTTAATTTATATGTGTCAAAGATAGCATGTGATTTAAATTTTAAATTTTAGGCATTTAAGAGTTTAATTTCCAAGTCTTCAGGAGTGATGAAAAGTCTATACCTGTTAGAATATGAAACTATTTTTGAGCAGTTTACTTGCCATCTTTTTTTTTTTTTTTTTGGGTCCGGTCGTGGGGCCTGAACTCTGGGCCTGGGCGCTGTCGCTGTCCCTCAGCTCTTCAGCTCAAGGCTAGCACTCTACCACTTGAGCCACAGCGTCACTTCCGGCTTTTTTCTGTTTGCTTATGTGGTGCTGAGGAATCGAACCCAGGGTCTTGAGCATGCAAGGCAAGCGCTCTACCACTGAGCCACCTTCCCAGCCCCTTACTTGCCATCTTTGATCTAAGCTAACCATACTTTTTTGTTTTCCAAAGAAAAGAATGACAGGTTAATATGTTCATGATGTAATTTAGATGAGTGAAGTTTTTATTAATAAAGTTTCTGTTTACTTGTTAAAAATTAAGCTCATAGTGAAAAATCATGCTTACATTGACACTCAATAGAAGTTTGGTTTTTTTTTTCTATTTTAGGGTAAAATAAAGAGCATATATGACCCCATGAGTATTAAAAGCTTAGAACCTATGTTAAATAAAAGTGCTTTGGACCCAACACCAAAGCATGAATGTCATGTGTCAAAGAATGCCAGTAGAATTACATCCCTTTTGGCTTACAGAGCCTATGAGCTTACTCAGGTAAGTGCCTGCATCCATTTTAATGTTACAGCCTGTTATATCTATTTTGTTACTAAACCTTTAAAATATCTCCCCTTGGCTGGGAAGGTGGCTCAGTGGTAGAGCGCTTGCCTTGCATGCATGAGGCCCTGGGTTCGATTCCTCAGCACCACAGAAGCAGAAAAAGCCGGAAGTGGCACTATGGCTCAAGTGGTAGAGCGCTAGCCTTGAGCTGAAGAGCCAAGGGTCAGCACCCAGGCCCAGAGTTCAGGCCCCCACAACCGGCAAAAAAAAAAAAAAAAAAATCTCCCCTTCAGTTTTCTCCTCTATTTTATCAGTTTCTGGTTTTCTCAGTTAGATCCCAATCTTACTTTTTTCTTTTTTTTTTAAATAACAATTTTCTTTATTCATTGATTGATTGATTGATTGCTTGTCGGTCGTGGGACCTGAACTCTGGGCCTGGGCACTGCCCCTTAGCTCTTCAGCTGTAGTCTAGCACTAGCACTTGAGCCTCAGCCCCACTTCTGGCATGTTCTGCTTATGTGGTGCTGAGGAATGGAACCAAGGGCCTCATGCATGTAAGGCAAGCACTCCACCACTGAGCCACCTCCCCAGCCCAGATCCCAATCTTTCTTACTGAAGTTTGTTTAGTGTTTCCAGGATGGCTCAGAAATACAGTGGCCTCTGAAGCCTGGTTATGTATAGACATTTTTGTTGTTGTTGTTGTTGGTCATGGAGCCTGAACTCTGGGCCCTCAGCTCTTCAGCTCAAGGTGAGTGCTCTACCACTTGAGCCACAGTGCCACTTCTGGCTTTTTCTGCATATATGGTGCCGAGGAATCGAACCCAAGGCCTCATGCATGCAAGCAAGCATTCTACTACTGAGCCACCTTCCCAGCCCTCAGATGTGTTTTTCTCTTGAAATAAGATGCAAAATGGTAACTAGGATTGGTTTCATTTGTGTCCTTCGTAGTTTACTTTTGGGAGCAGGTTGGCTTTTCTGGGCTGAGCTTGAGGCTTAGGCAATTCTATTTGTAATATTTTCATTAGGAAATATATTACACATCCTCTGTAGTCAACATCTCAGAAGTAAACTTGAAATACCTAAAAGTAGCACCATGAACCCCAAGTAGATTATTATTTACCATAATAATAATGATTAGTAATTGATGATTTGTGCTGATACTGGTTTGAACTCAGGGCTTTGCAATCTTCATTGTCTTTTTCTACTCCAAGCTAATGATCCACACTTGTGCCTCACGCCCAGACCTGGCTTTTTGCTTGTTAATTGAACATAATCTATTGTGGGGTGGGGGGTGTCTGCCTTGGCTGGCTTTGAATCAGAATCCTCAGGTCTCAGCTTACTGAATAGTTAGAGTTATAGGCTTGAGCCACTGATGCACAGTGTAAATATATATTACAAAATAGATATAAAATACTAAATTTATTTTGGTTAAGTGGACATGTTTAGCTTAAAGCAATTTTCCCCCACAGGTACCTAAATAATTTTTCAAAAGGAGAAAGATAAATACAAGATTGCACTTTGTATCACTTACATATTCAAAGAAGTTAATTTTGTGTTCTCTTATTTTTAGTATTACTTTTATGAATATGGCTTTGATGAATTAAGGCGAAGACCAAGACATGTTTGTCCATATGCAGTTGTATCTTTTACTTACAAAGATGACATACAAATTCCCAAATTTGTATCTTCATTGAGGTAAGAAGAGTTAAAGAGTTTTAAGGTTGAGAAGAGATACATTTCATAACTCCTCCAGAATGATGTGAGCCTGTCATGTTGCCCCACCTTACCTGTTTACATTTTTCTTAAAATTAATTGGATATTTGATTGGCCATTATGACTTTAAAGGTTACATTGCAAGACAAAACAAGGAAAAAGAAACATTCAACCAAACCAAAAAAAAAAAGTACAATGATTTGTGAAAGACAGGTTGTTGAATATAGAAATAGATACTAAATTTTACTTACACTTCAATTGGTTCTTTGTCAGGTTTTGTTTATGTTTTTGTTTGTTGGTAGTAGGGCTTGAACTCTGGGCCTGGGCGCTGTCCCTCAGTTCATCAGCTCAAGGTGTGCGCTCTACAACTTGAGCCACAGTGCCACTTCGGGTTTTCTGGTGGTTTATTGGAGATAAGAGTCTTGTGGACTTTCCTGCCTGGGCTGGCTTTGAACCATGATCCTCAGATCATGGTTGAGAGCACCAGTGCCCGGCTCCTAGTCAGTTTTCAAAATTGACATTTTATATATTAGCTTTCTTGAAAATGAAACTAAAACTAAATCATGTGCTAGTTGGAAGCCTAGTTATTGGGAGTTTTCTAAACTTCCAGGTGATTTTGATTTTCAGCCATTATTTAGTATCATTGGTGATATCTTACAAGCTCTAATATAAAGTGGCTAAAAACCAGTGAGTAAAGTTATCCACTTTCCTTCAATGTTGTGATCCCAAGCTATTTTTTTGGGGGGGGGGTCCAGATGTGGGGCCTGAACTCTGGCCTGGGTGCTGTCCCTCAGCTCTTCAGCTCAAGGCTACTGCTCTACCACTTGAGCCACAGTGCCACTTCTGGCTTTTTTTGTTTTTGCTTATGTGGTGCTGAGGAATCAAACCCAGGGCCTCAGGCATGCAAGGCAAGCACTCTACCCCTGAGCCACCTTCCCAGCCCCCCCAAGCTATTTTTTTGTTATTTTGTTTTGTGTGGTAATAAAGATTGAACTCAGGACCTAGACAGATGTTCTACTACTTGAGCCCTTTTTATGTTGGTTATTTGTGAGGTAGGGTTTGGACTTCATGCCTAGACTAAAATTCTTCTGCTTGTGCTTCCCACCAGCTGTTGTACTTCTACTGTAGCTAGGATAAGAGGTGTGAGCTGCCACCTCAGCCATTGATTGAGGTGGAAATTTGACAACTTGTTTTGAGAATTTTAGAACCAAGATCCCCTTTGGACCCCTCCTGGGTCTAAAGACATTTTAAGCTAGTGAAAAAGTAAATTTAGGTAAATTTAGTGATAAAGGTGAACTAGCCAAAGGTCTGAGTTTTTATACATATTAAAAATAACTTAGGATAGCTATTAATTTGGAAATAATTTTTTTATTGTTATTGTTGGTACTGGGGCTTGAATTTAGGACCTATCTCACTTGGCTTTTTTCCACTCAAGTCTTTCACTACCGCTTGAACCACAACCTCCACTTTGGGGTTTTTACTGGCCAGTTCTTTACTTTGATTCTGGTCTGTAGCTCTACATATTATTATTATTTTTTTGGGGGGGGTCTGATCGTGGGGCCTGAACTCTGGGCCTGGGCGCTGTCCCTTAGCTCTTCAGCTCAAGGCTAGCGCTCTACCACTGAGCCACAGCTCCACTTCCGGCTTTTTCTGTTTATGTGGTGCTAAGGAATCAAACCCAGGGCCTCATGCATGCAAGGCAAGCTCTCTACCACTGAGCCACCTTCCCAGCCCATCTACATATTATTATATCAGTCAAGTTATATAGACCATCCATCCTGTACCTTGAATGTGTCATATTCTTAGGACCCTGCATTTGTTGTCTCTTCTCTTTGTTAATTAATCTGCATAGCTGTTTTCTTCTATTCCTGTAAGTCACTTCTTAAAGGTGACCAACTGTCTAAGGACCTCTTTTTTTGTTGGTTGTAGGGCTTGAACTCAGGGCCTGGGCATTGTTCCTGGGCCTCTTTGTGCTCAAGGCTAGCACTCTACCACTTAAGCCACAGCGCTCATTCCAGTTTTATGGTGGACAATTAGAGATAAGATTCTTGTAGAGGGCTGGGAAGGTGGCTCAGTGGTAGAGCGCTTGCCTTGCATGCATGAGGCCCTGGGTTCGATTCCTCAGCACCACATACAAAAAAAAAGCAGGAAGTGGCACTGTGGCTCAAATGGTAGAGTGCTTGCCTTAAGCTGAAGAGTTAAGGGACAGCACCCAGGCCCAGAGTTCAGGCCCCACGACCGGACCAAAAAACAAAAAAAAAGATTCTTATAGACTTTCCTGCCTCAGCTGGCTTCAAACTGCAATCCTCAGATCTCAGCCTTCTGAGTAGCTAAGATTACAGGCATGAACCACTGGTGCCTGGCTCATAAGGTGTTTCTTAATATGTATGTGTGTGTGTATTTGTGTGTATGTATGCATGCTGGTACTGGGGCTTGAACTCAGGGCTTGATTGAGGCCCTATTTAGCTGTTTTGCTCAAGGCTGGTGCTCTACCAATTGAGCCACAGTTCCACTTCCAGCTTTTTTGTGGTTCATT